CAAGCTGAATATCTGTTTCATTTGAAGGCATTTAGAATATATTGCGTAGAGTGGTTGTGTATAGAGTTAAACCGTGTGCGCAAACTTGGTGGGGTGGCCAACTCGCTTGCCTGGCCAACTCGCTTATCCAGCACGTTACATGTTTCTCCAACAATGGTTAATATTGAGGCTGTGCTAACAGTAGAAGAATCGATAGGGTGTAGGGAAAAGACTTATCTAGAGAAATATGGTAAGAGAGTATTTTCGCAGTTGTACGACGCTTAAGAGGAGATATTGTTGAGTAGTTGACATTCAAGGGCAACCAGTGCCGTCCGATATTGTAGGAGATTTTCATGACGCGTCACTAAGTACTATGTATAATCTATGTCTAGTTCATCACAACTTACTCATCTCCTGCTTCTTACTCTCTACCTCCTCCAGTACATCGTACCCATACACCCACTGCCTAATCTTCTTGTCCGTAATACCATAACTTGTCCAATCAAGCAGCGGATCACCCTTGGTCTCCTCCTCGCCCTCAGCCCCATCCCTCCTCGCTGCTTTATCCCGCATATCTCTTGCGGGCCCAGGCTCCAGGTGCAATAGGTCCCCCGCGTGCTGGCTCGCCGCACTGATCTTCTCTGCACGCGGCTTGCGCACAGTTTCGAACAGCGTAACAGCTGAAGCCAGCGAGAATATCTCTGGACGCGAGACGTGGTGGGCCAAGGCGGTAGCAAGCGCTAAGCCGTCTTCAATGGCGAGAGAGACGCCCATGGACAGGTAGAAGGACATGGCGTGGGCGGCGTCGCCGATGAGGACGAAGTTCTTGGCCCGTGATGTCCAGCTGGGGAGAGGCAGTACTTGGTGGACTGGCCAGTTGGTGACAGGGCCTGAGGCCAGTTCAATCAGGCGCTTTACGCGCGGGTCCATGTCTCCGTAAAAGCGGGTTAATTCGGCCTTGTATTGTTCTTGGGTCCAAGCGCTGGTGTTGACTGTGTCCGGGTGGGAGAGCACAAGGTTGAGCTTGTCAGAGCCGCGGATCATGTATGTCATGACGAGCTTGTGGGTGTCAGCCCTAAGGAATGGTCAGTAGGCGTTCGAGGAGTTAGCCATCTTCTTTGATATTTTTTTTGACGCACCAGCAATTTCCCGCATGCTCCTCTACGATCTCCCTAGTGAGCGGGTCGGCCCGCACCTCCTTCACATCGGCCATAACGCGGTAGGCGGCCATGCCTGTGCCCACCACCCACTCCTGTTGCGGTGCTCCCAGACTCCGCATCAGTTGGCCTCTCGCGGAGCTGTTGATACCATCGCACGCTATCACCAGATCTGCCTTGAGCTTCTCCCCGTTCTGCACCTGCACCCATCCCTCCTCCACTCCGTACTCGGCCACCCGCGTCCCCAACTTCATCTCCACATCCACCGCTCCATCCTTCCCTTGCCTCGCTACCAGCGCCTCCCACAGAATTCGATGCAGGTCCGCCCGGTGCACAACTATATACGGCGCCCCGTACCACTCCGTAAATCGATCCATCGGCACCCGGTTCAGTACCTCGCCGTCGCTTCCACGTCTCAGGTGCCATGATGACGGCACCGCCGAGGCAGCAAGCAGCGCTGGGCCTAGCCCGCACCGGAGGAAGAAGCGCGTGGCCACGGGCGTGAGCTGCACGCCCGCTCCAATCTCAGCCAGCTGAGGTGCGGATTCAAGAAGGAGGATACGATGTTTAGAGTTCGTACCCGAGAGCGAGCGCGAGAGGGCTAGTGCGGTGGAGAGCCCCGCGAGGCCAGCTCCAACGATGATGATCTCCATTTTGCTGTTCTTCTTTTTTTGCTTCTCCTGCTCTTTCACGTCGGGTTTGTTCTCTCTCTAACTTCGTTTTGTGGGGGATCGTGAAGGATTGTAGGAGATCTTGAAGGATTGCGGGAGATCGTGGGGGGTCGTGGGGAGATTTTCGATCTGAAGGGCCGTCAGGGGTGCAGCTTTCATATACTTATACCGGGGCATCAACACAGCGGAATGCAATGGAATGAAGCGGAATTCAATTATTCAAGCGTAACTATCGTACCACGGATGTTTCAGCCGCAGTCAGCATTCATCTAATGCATGTTACCCTGCTACAACAGGCTCATCCCAGCTGGCCAAGTTTACTCGGACTTGCTGGTTACCCTATAAAGTAAATTCCTAGGCACGGTTCGGCCTTTTTAACGGGCAGCCCCGCCATTAGCCCTGTACAGCGCTCGCCGCTAGTCAGCACAATGGTCTAGTCTCGGCTGTGCTCGCGGTGCTTGCGTAACTCTGTTCAACTACCGAGCCAAGCGGTATATTTCCGCTTGTTTGACATAGTGGAAGCGGACCCTTGGCGCTGAATGCGCTTCTACTGTCACTGTGCTATGATATCTTCACTGTATATATGTTTCTCCGCGGCTTATATGTAGCCCTTGTATATAGTCACGACACTTTGGTATAATACCGGGCTGTTATGATCAATTATGATTGACGGGCGAACAATCTAGTAATGATTATCCCCAAGGATCAAGACCAACACTCCGCGCCACAATCTTTCCAATGATATTACAAAGAAGGAGTTGTAATCCGTATATCTGCTTATTTAAAGTTCAGTAAATAACGTTGCACTAAGCGGTTATACGTCGAGACAGAGGAGGTGCGCAAAAGTTATAGCAAGTAAAAATTATATTTAAATATTGAATAGTGAAGTTTGATAGCATCGAATCAGATGCAATCACCTACATGCCTAACCGACCACTCTACTAAGCACAGCCCTTACAGAGACCTAACCTCTAGGGTTTGCACTAAGAGTTGACAGTTGAGTATCCTAACCCCCAATCGGCGGCGTACGGAGCTCGCACCTTCCACCGCTTGGGTCGTACATGGCGCAAAAGGTGGATCTTTATAATAGCTAGAAAGCGAATTTCCTCTCATAATCCTTGCTACAAACTTACGTGGTTGGGTTAGGGTTACGGGTGTAGCAATTGTACTTCTCTGGGTTCGGCGTGTCACAAGTAGTAACTACAGCAGCGTACATGGTTTGGTTGTTCCTTGATTGCAATTTCTAATCGTGGTTAGCATACGCAACATTCGCATCACATGAGAAAACACTACTTACGACGAGTTGAGCTTCTGGACTAGGGACAAAGCCATTCACACACGTCTTGGGGAATTCCTCTTTGCTGACAGGAACACCATTTCCCAAGCCGAAGCCGTCCTGGTCTCCCGCAAACTCATAGCGGCTTAGGCCACTACCATCAGGGCAGACAAAATTGTCACCGGTACTGAAGCTGGGAAAAAATAGCAGCCTCCGGCCCCATTGCATGCATTGGAGTTCCAACCACTCGCTACTACTACGGGAAAAGCAGTGGCGAAAAGAGCGGTGAGAAGAGTGGCGCGCATCTTGAGTGCGGAATTATGCGATTATGTGGCGAGAGGTAACTGTTGAGAGATGTAGAAGGGGAGATGATGACTACTCCACTTGTGCGAACTGGGTCCTTTTATAGCAACTCTACTGTGAGCGTAGTACCAGAGACCCGACTGGCCTCGGTAGCCTAGTCAATTGATACAATACGCAAATATATGTAATCGCGGAGATCCAACCTTGAGCAGTCTGCGTTTAACCAACACTCAATGCCATGTGTACGTGGAAGCCATGCTGTCCCTGTTGTTTATGTTATCATCATGTCTAACTAGTTATACTTGAACTCTTTTCCGGAATAGTCTTCTCCTTTCAATATGCACAAATTAAAACATAATACCTAGCGCTGAAAACAGAAGTTGCAGCCTGTAAAGGTCCGATAATGAGGGCTCTAAAACGCGCACAGGCCTATAGTAGCGTCATAGTACACCGATGCACAGACTACCTTACTGCATATAACACTCTTGGTGAGAGCTTCAAGCTGTGCTGAGCTTACCCGCCTTCGCATCCCCCGCAAATAAACTCTATTTAGTTCTCCTTTTACCCCTCGTTTTCTCTGTAAACGCGCCTTACACGTTTAGCTCCGTACATTACAGCCGCGGGATATGGAGTAAACGCGCCTCTACGAATCAAGACGAACAATTTTCAGTTACCATAATGAGCGGGAAAATAAGCGAAGGCGATTGCGACAACAGTTCAAGGAAGATACTAGGTCTCCGGGACCAATAATTGTTGAAAATGGAGTGGTGCGGGATATTTAGGCATTAAACTCGAGTTGTTTCGAATGAAGTTACGCAGCCACTGCGTGCGCAATGCAAAACTTCGATCGCAAAATTGAGTTGGCAAACGATAGCTAGAAACTGACCTGATAAGATGAAGGCGCGGATCCGTACATGGACGGTAAGTACTACTTTAAGTAGCTCGCTACCGGCGACACGGCGGCAGACATCCAACATGGTCATCTCGCCTAGCTTCAGGGTCAGTGACACCGCGTCTAGAGTAGTAGCATGTTTTTGTCTATCTATCTGTGTTGTTCCGCGCAAGAGGTACCAAGGTACTACGTATTATTGCGTGAGTTAGATAGTCTCTTCACATTGCCGCCTTCAGTTAAAGTTGGCCCAAAACTACTCATTTTTATTTATACCTCAGAATCAGCCTTTAGGGCCTGTAGTGAAACAGGGTTCCAGATCATTTCGTAGACGTCTGCTACATTGACTTTCTAGCCCATCCATGCTCCGGCTAAATATTGTAGCACGATATGCGATCGAGCTCAGAAAGATCAAGTGGTAGCTTGCAATCGAGATGGTAGAGTGAATTTTATATTCAACCGCTACTAAAGAATTGATTGAAGAAGCTGGCTATCGACGTGAGAAAGGAAATCATAGTATTATGTTCGCAGTCTGATCACGTGATACTACACAACCCTGGGCCTCTTCCGCCCGCATGCTCTATGGGAGGCTTCTAGATAGGACAAAAATCTGGAAACACACACACACACACACACACGTGACACTACACCAACACGTGTATATTACTTATATATGAACTTTTGAACTAATGTGGTGATAGACCAAAGTCATGTATACGAGCCACTAGTAAGGGGGTGAGGCAGGCTGGGGAAAAGAGTAAGAGCTATACTATATACAGTGTGGCTTCCGTTGAGGATCCTAAGAAAAGTCTAATTAGTATCTCCCCTTACTAAATTCGGGATAGGGTTATCCGGAGGAGAGTCCGATTGTCAATTTTAGCGTCTCCACATACAAAACTTTTGCCGGTAACCGCTGGTGATTCCGAATGGGTAATACTTCGCCGGTTAAGGGTGTGTTATCAGCCACACTACATATATAAATAGTGACAGAGCAGCCAATATGCTAGCAATGTGGATAGGCAGGTCAGCAAGATCCCGGATCCGCCTCATCAACATCAGCTGCACGATGCCGCGCGTACCGCCTCCTTCAATTCAAAGGATGCTCGCTCTCACTGTTGGAGGATGCATGTAAACAACCACATCAGTCTGCGGGGCTTGTCTGCAGAGGAGGCAGCGGCGAACAGTAAAGCTTTTAGGGATCATCTCCGCTATCGTCTCCACTGTCTCCAAACACGACCATGCAGTTCTCGCAGAAGTTGTGCCACACTGTCGGCCGTACTGCGGTGGAAACTGAGCGTGCTAAAATGCTCATGTCGCCCAACATTAGGCGCCGACTTGCGAAAATGGAATTCCTTTTTGATTCCAAGTCATATTGTGGTCATGAGCAGTAAAGTTAAAAAATACAGCAAAGAGGACGTTGACCCCAAAGACGTAAAATGGAAAGAATGGAAAGAATCGGTCGATCGTTTTGTCGCGAAAAAACAACGGATGGAACGCACTCCAAATCTCGACAATAGTCATACAAGAGCATTCCCAAACCAACGAAAAGATCCCTGCCTTCCAAGAGCCTTCGAATGGACCAAACAGAAGCAATTGTACTGTCCTCCAGATCTCCTCCGCTGTACCCTTGTAGATACCGACGAACCGACTCTGGGCCATGAATTCGGCTACGTATTCTGTCATCGCGCACTCTACGACCGTGCTCAGGGCATCATCGATAATTCCACGGCTGCCATCGAGAATGGAGCGAACCACGGGTACTACCTTCACGAGCTTGACTCGTTCGTCTTCGACCGGTTAGACAAAACTATTGTGGTCCATGAAAAGGGATCTTTCCGAGTTTCGGCAGAAGACAAACAATGGGAAGAAATGAGTGTTTTCGAGATCCTTAGGATGTTTCTGGTTGATCGAAAAGTTGATCTAAGCAAACGTAACTTCACAGAGTCATTCGAGAAGACGAACCAGACTGTACCGGATCTACTAAGTATATTTTGGAAGGAATTGCTCCATCCTACTGGGGTCACATTTCAGATAGATATCAGGGACGATGACTTCCAGAAGGTCTTTTCTTACTACTCATATCACGTGTTCAAAAGAATTAACCATCGCAAAAGCTTAGGATCTCGCCTGTTCCGGCCAGCAATGTTCAAGGGCTACAATCATCATTACAAGTCGTTCGATGCTCTTCGAGATGCCATCCAGCAAGAATGTATTACACTATATGGTCGGAATTACTTCAAAACTGAATACTTGGACTGGTTCCCTCCTTTGATCATGGTAATTACCGCTGAGGCTATGAGGAAGCTTTTGAAGGAGGAATACCCATCAAATGCATTACCACAGTCAGGGGCGCCTTTTGATTTCAGCACTGCATCAAGCTATGAGCGTATCTACGCCTTAGCCATGAGACACATATCCTCCTTTGTGAACATTGGAAAGAACCACTACAACTTTATACTTGAAGTTGAATACAGCGGCCTCGGACTAGGGTACAATGTGAAAGATGACCTAGCATGGAACCCTTTGAACGGAAAGCGGATAGTAACCGAAGAAGTAATTTTTGAGGCCCGGTTTGACAGAGCCTTGATAGACGTAACCTTGGATCTGAAGAGAGCCCACAAAGGATTGTTGATCGCATCATGTACGAGATTGCCCGATGTCATTTTGCCAACAGGATATTACATTGCAGATTATTCATCATCGAAGATGAAACCTTGGGAAACTGAGGAGAAAGGAATCTCACGTCATTTGAGAACTATCCATGGAGGCCTATACCCACAATCAGACATTTGCATTGCCGACAATGCTGGAGGAGAGATTGCTGCACGCACTTGGATAGACCAATATGCAAAATTAAAAAGGAAAGACCTCCTCAAACTCTCTTTTGGAGGGTATTCGTACCAAGACTGGCTAGAGAGCAGCCACCAACCAGATCTTGTCGAAGCCATGGGCATCATCAATGGCAATTTTCTCGCGAACCAAGTTGGAGAGGTCGCCCCTGTTGCTTCAGGAAAAGATATTAGTACAGCAGCGCCGATGCTTCTCGATGAAGCGGGTAGTTTTCTCATGGATTGGCAAGAGATCTTCAACGCTCCCAACGACGACGGAGACGAGCCCAAGAGAGAAGTCCAAGCCAGAGTAGGCAGTACACAAGACTTCGACCCTCGTGTAGCTATAACCGATCCAACGGGCAGAATGCGCATATGCGAAGTAGGTCCCAATGATAAGCGCAAGGTTCTTCACGTCGGAGACAGAGATTTCATTTTCGATAATGTGCAAAACGCAATTCGTGCGTCCAATAGCCTTTACGTCTATTATGCCGTCGATGCCGGCTATCACAGGCATATGGATGATTACGGCGAAACCGAAAAAGCGAGAACATTCCCGGTTCGTAACTACGAGGCTATCAAACGGCTGATAGGGACTGGCGCAGACATCAATGCGTTGTCTGGAATATACGGCACTCCACTGGCATTAGCTTGTGTCAAAGGCGACTACGCTGCTGCCAAATTCCTGCTGGGAAATGGGGCCAAGATAGATGTCAAAGGGCCGTATGGCTATCCTTTGGAGCTCGCGACCGCAAAAGGCCATGCAGAGGTTGTGAAATTGTTGTTGAAGCAGACAAATCCACATGCATCCTTTTATGCCAGTGCGTTCCAGAAAGCATGCCTCGAGGGCCAATTGGATATCGTCAAAGTGTTTGTGGAAAAGTATGAGCTCATTGGGGCATCATTGGAAGGGGCATGCGCACGAGGCCACAAAGAGATTGTTCTGTACCTGCTCAGTAAAGGGGCCACCGCCAGTTCGAGCATTATAAGCCAAGGGCTACATATGGTGTACATGTACGGCCACAAAGGTATTTTCCGGATACTTCAAAGCTCCAGTGTCAAGTGCTACTTGGAGGTACTTGAATACATCCAAGGAATTGGATCAGCAGGGAATCTAGTGTCTGGTATAGGCTGTCAACTTATGAGGCAGATGTTGCGGAACAAGCAACGTCGAGGGAATGCTTATAGAATAGCTTCAACAACTGGCCGGAAGCTGTGGACTACACTGGCCGCTGCATGCGCTGGAGGCTACCAAACCATTGTCCATCTATTTCTTCGGCGAGGAGCCCTATTTGGCAGCCATAGGACTAAAGATACAAGTGCAATATGGAGAGCGCGGATGGGCGATCACTCAAAGGTGATCCAGTTGTTACTTGACAACAACACTGATGTCAAGAATCATGGAGGCGGGCTAGGCATGAAGAATCGAACTTCGCCAATGCATGGCTCAAGACACCAAACCAGCATAGCTGAGGACGCTGGAGGATTTAGAAAACTGAAAACCAAAGGCGACTACCATCCTTGGGGGCTGAAAGAAGATCTGCCCACGCCCGAGCATGACTGCGGGTGCATGTTGTGCTTATTGAATCATTTGAGTGGCAATGCTGATTATGATGATGGGTACAGCAATGATAAGACGGACAGCGGAGGCGATGACGATAGCGAGGAAGTTGTTGCTGGCAACGAAGACGATGAAGCAAGCAAGATGATGATTACAATGGTCCAAAGCAGTATAGCTATGATTAATAGCTATGATTACGGAGACGATGTTTATAGGAAGGAGTATGACAACTGTAAGAAGGAAGTTGGTGATGATGATGATGAAGAACATGAAGAGCTTCATCAGCGTAACTTTACCACTGAAAAAAATCTGCCTCCTGGATACATTAATCAGTCTACTGGAGCGATGGGCTATGAAATAACACCGCAGCGTTCTAGTCTTCGTATGGGCACGCAAATGTACGCTATTGTTTGAGTGTAATTCTTATTTGAAAAGAGGAATTTTACCATCGAAATGTTACTTCGAAATACAAGTTGTATATCCATCGATACTATTACGCGATGTTTTGCCCTAAGAATTATGATCAAGTTAGTATGGCGGGAAAGAATTCTAAAGTTTGCAAGAAAGAGGTTCGATGATACGGGATGAAGCACTAAAATTATGTATGATATAATAGCAACTGAACCCGAGGTTGCACTGCATATAAGCCGGAGTAAGTAATTTGAAAGTAATTCCTGTGATAGCAACCCGCCAGGGTTTATGTAACACGATCATGTATCATAAAACATCAGGTTGGCTACCATCATGGCATCGCATCATTTCAGATGAACTTATCTGCGTCTACTACAGTCATAGTATTGTAGGCACTATCAGCCCCAACTACGATAGCTCAACCTCCATCTTCCGGTAAGTTCTCAACTGTACCGGTCCCACAAGTCCAAACTTGTGCCAATCCTGGCTCGTGTAGAAAGTTTTGTTCGTCGGACCAAATCCAATGCTCAAGACATTGTCGATGTTTTCTTTCACAGAGTTGAACAGGGATGTCGTCACTTCCACCTTCATGAAGTTGTTGCCATTTTGAACCAGTTTCAAAATTTCAACGATGGGATTCGTCGGGTCGATGGCGGGGACTTTTTTGCCGTTCAGCCATGCCTTGACGGTGTGAAGAACGGGGCCAAAGTCTAGCATGATGGATGTAGAGTTGTCTGTGGAGACGTTGAAGTTCGTGCTGTATGTTCCGATACCACTGACATGTTCGATGCCCGGAATTTTTGTCCATGGTGCTAGTTGAGGAAGCATGCCTACATTGATCGTTGTGATATTAGGATCGACTGTAGCGTGATCAAGCATAGGCCCATAAGCTTGAACTGTAAGATTCCAGGGACCTAGTGTCGTGGCTCCTGGACTTTGTGTGTTGGATTCGGGAAGATTGATGTTTTCGCCGTTGCTCAAGGATAATGATGCTGACAAACTGTCGGAAATCAATACCTCCAGGTGGTTGTCTTTTGTGAAATAAACGTTCTTCACATTAGAAGAATGACTGACTACGTTTCTCCCACTTTGTGCTGGGACAGTAGCCTTGAGCGCAACTATGACTGTCTGGTGGGATTGTAGTTGGATGGCCATCCGGACGCCAGAAGAGGTTCTTTGGAACACTGCCGATGAGACCTCGAAACCAGTCCATGAATCCAAGATTTGGGGCACCAAATCTTTCCCAACATCAAATGCGATGTTGAATACTCCCTCTGCTCCTTGGTTGTAAAGATAGACGTACTCAGAGCGTGACGTGGTGTCAGACGTCCAAAACGTAAACAGGTCCGACGCGTTGGTAGTACCTTCCACCTGAGCGCGAGCATGTACCCCATCTGCAGCAAGTTGGGATGTGGAAAAGTTCTTGGCCTCGAAAACGCGCACATTCCTGTACTGCAGTAGCTCATTGATATTTTCTGAGACATGTTGTTGCCCGGTAGATCCAATCGTGGTGTTGGGAATTGTACCCACGATATATATGGGTAGTCCGTTTTGCGCGAAATCCAACAACGCTGCAGACGCATCTGGCGTAATCTGTGTCTGATTGTAAATGAGTAGAGCCTTGTAAGCTGGTCCCTCGGGAGCAAGAACTCCATCAACAACCGCAGCTTGCTCAGAAACCAAGTTCTTTGGCCCTAAGTACTCGTATGTGTGTCCTTTGATGCGTTAGTTCTTGCTAATCGCTCTTGGCTTGTTTTTCTCACCGTATTCGTTTGCTTCAGACGTGGAATACATATCTGCAAACTTGTAGGGAGCCTGATAATAGTACAGAGCGAGGTCCACCTTGGGTGTGCCGGATTGCATGATCAGGCTGTTCCTCGCTGAATAGGTAAATAGATCATCAAGATGCTGCCATGCTGGTTGCCTTTGATTCCACATTTCAGTGTACGAATATTGGAAAGGCGTGTATCCAGGCCATGTAGTCTTGATGTATTCACCACTGTATGCATAGCCATGGATAGCCATTGTGTTGACACCTGCTGCGTACGATTGATCGAAAAGGTTTTTCAGTTTGGGGACCCGAAGAGTGTATGCTCCTCCATTAATGGCGCCGATTTCAGTAGAGATGACATTTCGACCCGATAGATGAGCCGGGCCTACGAACTGCCGGTAGAGATCTATCTCCTCCTCAAAACCAAGGGACTCGAGTTCAGGTACTTGGACATGTGGTATCGCTCCCACCTATTGATTATTAGAGCCCGTCTCTATTGGGTGAAGAAGACTGTGACGCGAGGATATGCCAAAATGGCACATGACTTACCATGTCGACAGGTTGGTTATAGCCAGGTTGATTAGACAACTGGAGTCCTTTGCTTGATGCCCATCTAGCATAGTGGTCAATGTATTCTACATAGCCTTCACTAAGAGCAAGCTTGTAGTCTTGGACGTAAGGCCCGCCGTCTGTGAAATACTCGCCAAGCGTGTATGTCATGTTGTAAGCGGGCCACAATGCCTGCCATGCGTTCGTTCCGTGAAACAGAACTGGGAGGTACTTGTTGATACTATATCCATGGATCCGTTCGAAATGCGAGGGAAGATTTGGTGTCCATGGAAGAGCGGCTTGGATTTCCATACTATCCTCCCAAGCTTGGGAAAATGTTAGTCCAAGTGTTAACGTCAGATACTAGAAAACGCACCGTAGCTGGTGACTCTTTGCATGAGTCTAGCTATCTCAGGGACAGACAGAATGTGCTGATCCCAAAAATCCGTCGTCTTCTTTGCGCCGTTGGCACTCCAGTGATCTACTATCCAAGAACCATTGCCGAGTGCGGTCGTGGCATTTGCAACTGATACGCAGCTCCGCTGGTTTGTATAACGCTCATATACGGCAAATAGGACCCATGTTCCGTTACCATCTGGAGCTGTCCATGTCAAAGTGCCATAGTCCGTAATGTTAGTCAACTCAACTAAAGAGTCATGATCCAAAACCGTGTAGGGAATCCTAGAGCCGTATGGACCATCCGCGAAACCGCCTTCCGAGACGGTTTTTCCAGCAACGACAGCTAGCAGCTCGTTTGATCCCCACGGCTCTGGTGGGTTCATAAACCCCGGGAGGAAGTTGTAGTTGACAACAGGCTCAGGGATCTCGCCGGAGAAAGTAGCTCCTGATTCAATCTTGGTACTCCCGTACACAAGCGTCTTGGCTAGGCCGGGAGTCTCAACCTCTGATGGCACTCCAGCGCCTTGGTTGGGACCTAAGGCAAAATCGAAGGCTAGCTGAAACGTAGACGCCGTATCCAGGGCTGCTTGGAACAGTTTGTTAAAATCGTCTGTACCAAATCCATATATAGACCAGTCGGTAAACGCAGGTCCCAGCCCGTAGTTGTAGAAAGGTAGGAACTCAAGTCCACCACCTCCCACAGCGGCAATTTGACGAACATCGTTTTGAACGGAATCATGGGTAACAGATGCATCAGGTAACCTACCGCTGTCAGTAAGGAAAATAAGCAGCAGGGCAGATTGGGGCACACAGACCAGTATCGGAATTTCGGTCGGTATTGATTTGGAGTGAGTGAGTGAGTGAGTGAGTTGTATTTAACGTCTATATATAAAGCCTCCCTTGGGGCATGTAGACGGGCTA